CTCCGAGCCCGCCGGCTACGGGCACTCACTGGTGCCCAGGAAGAGAATGTCATAGGTGCGGTTCAGGCCCCTGACGCGGTGGACGGCCACGCGCTGGTAGCCGGCCCGGGGCTGCAGGAGCAGCATGCGGCCTCGGACCTGCCCGTCCATCAGAAAGTGGTCCTTGAGGAAGTTGAGCACACGGTCCGGGAGCTGCAGGGAGGAGTTTATCTTCCTCTGCCGGGTGCTGTTGGTGATGCACTGCAGGAGAGGGTGATGGCGTGAGGCCAGTGACACGCGGGCCGGGGGGAGCAGGGGCACCCATCCTGCCGGGACCGCCTCTCCAGGGGACGGCCGGAGGGTCCGCCCCACCCTCGGAAACCAGGGCGCACCGCTTGCAGGTCTGCAGAGCCAAGGTGCTGGTCTGGAGGCCGCGGGGCAAAGCCCGGGCTGTGGGCACCCAGGGGCCCCCACCGGCAGGTTCCCCGGCTGTGCGCTCCGGGCCCCTCCCCCAGGCCTCGAGCGGCACAACCACGCTTCCTGCTCCATCAGCATCCTCTGGCTGACCAGATGGCCTGGTGGGGGACATGAGGTGCCCACAGTTAGTTCCCACTGATTCTCTCTGTAAGAGCCCTGAGATTTTATTTTATTTTTTTAATCTATCTTTATTGATTTCAGAGAGAGGAAAGGAGAGGGAGAGAGAGAGATAGAAACATCAATGATGAGAGAGTCATTGATCGAGCCTGCAACCCGGGCCTGTGCCCTGACCGGGAATCGAACCCCGATCGCCTGGATCCCAGGTCGACGCTCAACCGCTGAGCCACACCTGGCCGGGCAGCCCTGAGATTTAATACCCAGGAAGGACCCTCAACCCGTGAGGTGCAGGGACCGGTGATAAACACCCAGCAGAACGTTGCTGAGATGTGCTCCACACCCCCCCGTATGCCGTCTCAGCTCTGCTCTGGGGGGAGCCCCTCAGGCTGGAAGGAAAGAAGAAAGAACTCTCTCTCCAAGTCCTGGCCATTCATCACTCAATAAATAAATAAGGAGCTCACAGCAGAGGGGGAGGCACCCGTGAGCCGACAGGTACAAAGGCCAGCTGGGCCCTGGCCAGTCTGGCTCAGTGGTTAGAGCGTCACCCCTCAGACGGAAGGGTCCCGGGTTCGATTCCAGCCAAGGGCACATACGTCGGTTGCAGGCTCGATCCCTGCCGGTCGGGGGTGTGTGCAGGAGGCAACCAATCGATGTGTCTCTCTCACATTGATGTTTCTCTCTGTCTCCTCTCTCCCTCTCTCTGAAAAGCAATGAAAAGAAATATCCTCAGGTGAGGAATTAAAAAGAAAGGCAAGCTGGGAGTGCCCAGGTGGGGATGCGCCTGCTCCACCCTGAGACAGGTGTGAAGCCATCTGACAGTCATGGTTACATCTAACCCAGTGGGACAAGCAGGCCTGGGCTTTTGTCCCCACTTTTAAGATGAGAAAACAGACTTGGAGCAGCCAAGTGATCCCCCATCTACCCGGCACCCTTCCCCGCACCCCACTGCTGGGGGCAGTCCTCACCGAGCCGGGCCTGGGCGTGGGCACCTGGTAGGACACCGTGTGCCACTGCAACGTCTCCCGGTTCACCTCCTTGTAGAAGCCATCAAAGACCCTCTGCACGTCCTTCATGGAGAAGACACAGACGGCAGAGCCCTCTGTGGTCCCCCTGTGCCTACAAAAGAAACGGCCAGTTAACTGGGAGCCCTGAGGCTCAGCATGAGGCCGGCTCCTGGGCTCCGGCCCCAGCCAATCCCTCGCCCTCCCATCCCCGGCTAGGTCCGGGGGCCCTACCACTGGGATGTGAAGACCCCATAGAAGAGGGTGTCCTGCCAGTCCTGGGGGCTGGGGCTCAGCGTGAAGACGTCCTGCAGCACGTTGAACGGGAAGCCGTCGTCGGGCCGCAGGCACAGCAGCTGGGCCTTCAGGAAGGACGTCCAGCGCTGCTGCAGGATCCGCCCTCCACCCTCGTCGCCCTGGGGGAGGGAGAGAGAGGCTGGGCTCAGACGCTTAGGCCGGGGGCTGCATGCTCCTCAGTGTCCCCTCCCCAGGGGTAGCTGAGACTGACACCAAGGAGGGTGGGCAAGCCAAAGCCAGGCCTGGTTCCCATTTAAGACCAAGAAGGCTTGGAGGTGCCCAACCGGTGTGGCTCAGTGGTTGAGCGTCAACCCACGAACCTGGAGGTCAGGGTTTGATTCCCGGTCAGGGCACAGGCCCGGGGTGCAGGCTCCTGGATCCCCAGCAGGGGGCGAGCAGGAGGCAGCCGATCCATGACTCTCATCATTGATGTTTCGCTCTCTCCCCCTCTCCCTTCCTCTCTCTTTAAAATCAATAAAAATATATTTAAAAAAAGACTTGAAGGCAACATATAGGCGCCACTGCAGGGCTAAGTAAATGCCAGTGTTTTCCTTGCTGTGAAATCCCACGAAACAGGACAAAGGGGCATCTACCTACAAATATGGAAAGAGGTCTTGGCTTCCTGCAACCCGGGCATGTGCCTCTACTCTTCTGTTCTGCTTCACATTTTTCACATAAGAGGCATTTTGACTTAAAAGGAGAGAAACGCCGTTAGCGAAGCCGTTCCTCCTGGAGGGCTAGAGAGAAGGTCACAGAAGCGGGACCTCCCGGCGTTTCCTGACCCCGGACCCGGGGAGCCGCAGGGGGCTCCGGGTGGCCCATGCCCCTCACCTTGCAGACGCGGGCGATGCGGGACACAACCGTGTTCTCAAAGAAGTCAAACTCCTGGCCGGTCTCGCTAAAGAAGAAGTAGATCTTGTCATCGCCCCCGTCGAGGCTGCCCAGGCTCTCGGGGATGTGGGCCGAGGCCACAAACGCTGGGTCTGTGGGGCGGGCAGGGGGTGTAGAGTCAGCCCAGCCACCCCAAGCAGGCGTCTCAAGCAGGCGAGACTCTGCTCTCAGGCCCTGCTGGGGGGCAGGCCCGCGGCTGGGCAATGCGAGGGCTTCACCTTGGAGCCAGTTGAGGGAGCTCTCGGTCTTGGTGACGCGGCGGCTTTGGCTCCGGGAGATGACCGGGTCATTCCCCTGGAAATTGCTGACTGTCCCAGTGTAGAGTTCGCCATCTGCCAAGGAAACATTCCCATGGGAACGGCCTCTCAGCAGGGCCTCCTCTCCCGCTCGGGCAGGGCCTGCAGGGACCCCAGCCAGCCCTGCCCACCTCTCTTGGGGGTACACAGAGGAGGGAGGGGGAAACTGGGAGAAGCCAAAGCTAAGGGCAGCCCAAGGGCAGCCCAAGGTCACACCTGCACATAACCCCCATGGAGGCCCAACACTCACCAACCATGAGGGCCGTGGACTTGAAATTGGGGTCAAAGGGACAACGACCCTTGCCATCTTCCAGGAGGACGTTCCCCGCCGGGTCCCGTGCCAGCGTGAAGTTTTCCACACTCTGCGGGGGAGCAGACAGGCGGGCTCAGGGGCACGCCAGGGCCGGAGCGGGCTCGGCAGGAAAGGAAGGCGATGCTGGGAAAGGCGACTCTGAGGGGGTTGGGGAGAGGCCCTCCCCATCTCAGCACCCAGGGCTCAGTGCTGGCACCGCCTGGCAGGGACCTCTGGGTGACCCCCCCCCCATCACCTGGGGCTGGGCCGCAGGGCTCAAGGAGCCTCGCTGGGCCCTGCCCTGCACCGGCAGCCAGAGGGGGGTGCTGGAGAGCAGCTCCCTGGGGCAGAAAGCGGGGAGGCTCCCGGGCCAGCTGGACCGGGGGGGTACTCACAATGTAGGTGCACACAGGGCTGAAGGCCCCGGTGCCGCAGGTGAACAGGTGGGTGCTGTTGAACGGCAGGAGGATCTTGATGTAGTTTTGACAGTCTCGCTGGGGAAAGAGGGGGAGGGTGTCAGGCCCACGCCGGCCACCAGGGGGCACCACCGAGGCCCAAGGCCAGTGCAGGGCGTGGGTCAGGCCTTAGGTCTTAAGGTGCAAACCCACGGTCCCTCCAACCCTCGGGGGGCGGAAGCCACAGCCCAGAGCAGCCCGAACCCAGCCCCAGACTCACCACGTGTGAGTCTAAGAGCATCTCCAGCCCAGCTTCCAAGAGCTCCCCCAAACCTCTCTCCTCTCGTGACATCTTTCCTTTGGCAACACCAACCCCTCGGCTGCTGAGGCCCCAAACCTCCCAGCCAGCCTCGAATTCCCATCTCTCACCCCTGGCATTTTCCCATCAGGAAATCCTGGGGGCCCCGTGCATCTTCAATACATTGGGAATCTGACTATGTCTCCCTCCCTGGCCGGGGCCACCATCACCTCCCGGACCTCGCTGGTCTCCCTCCCTCTGTCCTCGCTGCATGGAGGCCGCTGTCCACCCCTCTTGACACACCTCAGGCCATGTCACCCCTCTGCTCGGCCCTCCAGAGGTTCCCCCAAACACCCCACTCAATAAAATCCACAGGCCTGCTGTTCCTCCGGGTACCCCATGGTCCACTCCCTCAGCACCTCCTCTTCTTGGCTCAGATGCCACTTTTTTTTTTAATGAAGTGTGAACCTGACCTCCTTTTAAACAAACTGATTTCCACCTGTTGCTCTTTTCTTTTTTTCTCACAATTATATCTCCAGTGTCTAAAAGCACCTGGGCACTGCCCGGCCAGCATGGCTCAGTGGTCAACCTATGAACCAGGAGGTCGCGGTTCGATTCCGATCAGGGCACAGGCCCGGGTTGCAGGCTCCTCGATCCCCAGTAGGGGGCGCCCAGGAGGAGGACTCATCACTGATGGGGACACTAAGGCTCAGAGAGGCAAATCTACTTGCCCAGGATTCAGAGCCAGGTCCGAAGCCCGTGCCCTGCCCACCACAGCTGGGGGCACCTGCACCCACTCCTGCTTCGGTCCTGGGTCCAGGTCCCCTACCCTCCACCGCAGCTGAAGCCCAGGTCACCTTCAGGTGGCGGCTCACCTGTGGGTCCTTGCCCTTGAAGCTGCACTGGTACTTCCTCTCGGCATCTGCGCTCCACAGCAGCTGGGGGACAAGAGGCGGCAGGTGAATGTGCACCTGGGAATGGAGGGGCCACCTCCCCACCACCGTGCTCCACCCAGCTTACCCAGCCCCGGGCATCGTCTCTCACCTCCTGGTACTCCCCTCCCGGCAGGAAGCTGGCGGTGCTGTTGAGCGCGAAGAGTGCCTCTCGGGCCCCCACGTACAGGGTCCCCCCATCCCTGCTCAGCAGAAGGGCCGTGTAGTTGGAGATGTTTTCATTTTGGAATCTGAGCAACGGCCGCTCTTCAGAGCCTGGGGAGAGGAAGATGGACATGACTCGGGGGCCCCCGCTCCCACAAAAAACCCAACCTCTAAAATGGACCAAGGTAGGTCAGCAAGGCAGTGGGTGGCAAGGGGCCGGGCTCACAGGGAAGCAGGATTCCCGCCGCGCAAACATTACGCAAGGAACAGAGGCACAGAGACAAACGGGAAAGGACCTTGATGACACAGCACAGCTCACGTTAAGGAGAAATCGAAACCGCCTCAATGTCCCACCGCTGGGGGCTGGGTGGAAATCAACCCTAATACTTCACTGGACGGAACACGAGCAGCTGGTAAGAATGGTGTGTGTGTGTGTTTTCAGAAACCCCAGACAGACAAACAAAGTTACATAAGAAAGGCGTGGTCAAAAATATGCCGGGAACTAGCCCAGCCAGCTGGCTCAGCGGTTGAGCATCGACCTAGGATCCAGGAGATCGGGGTTCGATTCCCAGTCAGGGCACAGGCCCGGGGTGCAGGCTCTTCGGTCCCCAGCAGGGGGCGCGCAGGAGGCAGCCGGTCAATGACTCTCATCATTGATGTTTCTCTCTCTCCCTCTCCCTTCCTCTCTCTGAAATCAATAAAAAGATATTTAAAATAATAATAAAGAAATAAATTGCAAGGGTAACCAAATAGAGCGGCAGAAAATTTTTGGAAGAGGTGGGGAAGGGTGGGGGTGCTACACAGCCTTCCCCCACCCCCCACCCCAATCCTCACCCAAGGATACTTTTTCCGTTGCTTTTCAGAGAGAGAAACATCGATGTGAAAGAGACACATCCATTGGTTGCCTCCCACACAGGCCCCAACCGGGGCCGGGGATGGAGCCTGCAACTGAGGTGCGTGACCTTGGCCAGAAGCGAACCCGGGACCGTTCCGTCCGAGGGCTGACGCTCTAACCACTGAGCCAACCCGGCCAGGACTAGTTATCATTTTTGGATGCTACAGGTTACACTTGGGTGATGCACAAGCAATCAATCAGGGAGGAGTTCCAGGGCCACCGTCTTGTGCTGGGAGTGGCTGATGGATTTGGAGAGAAATTGCTTTAAAAAAATTCTAAGCAGCTGATATGAAAAGGAAAACAAGCTTTCGGAAGCAGCCACCCTGCCCAACCTCAGGCATCTCCTAACTGACCGGCGGACTCCGACCACGCAAGCAAAGAGCCGCACGAAGCGCAGGAAGCAGAAGGCCGGCCACATGCCAACAAAGCAGCTGGGAAGACGGCCCCGTGTTCGTTTCCATGGTGAGTGGTTTTACATACCCCCAGCCTGGTTCCATAAGAGTGAGGAAACACAAAGGGAAGAAAGCAATGAAATATAAACACTAAAATCCGGAGCAGAGGAAAATTAAAACAAGTCTGAAGAAAACATGGAAACCGGAGAGGAAGGAGATTCCCACGAGCACATCACAGGTCCTCACACATTTAGCGCTGAGCCTCCCAGCGGCTGAAGAGAAAAGGGAAATGAGACTATCTTATCCTCACTGTCCAAGAGGAGGAGCACATACCAGGGACAAGCCTCCCCCCTAGAACCTGGGCTGCACCGGGAATTCACAGGGGAGAGTCCTGCCTTGTGTCCAGAGCCTGAGCTCTCCTGCTGAACCACACAGGGCAGCTGTGGTCGGAGGAGTTAAGGCCTCTCTTTGAACAAGCAAGTCCAGAATCACGCCAGACTCGAGGTCTTTTGCCTCAAATTCCCGACTCCTCGCTACTTCCTTTGGGCACTCTATACACCAGGAGGCCCGAGGAAAGTTTCCAGCACAAACCTCCCACGTCTTGCAAAGCAAAGCTTCCCAACGCGCTAGGTCCCGATTACGTTGCTCGTGCTTTGTGCCGATGAGCTGATGACCCGACCTTTCTGAGCTCTGCTCCCAGCAAGAACCACCACAGTCAAGACAGCCTTCCCGGCCCAGCCGGTGTGGCTCAGCGGTTGAGCGTCAACCTATGAACCAGGAGGTCGAGGTTCGATTCCCAGTCAGGTCACAGGCCCGGGGTGCAGGCTCCTCGATCCCCAGCAGGGGGCGCTCAGGAGGCGGCCGATCAATGACTCATCATTGATGTTTCTCTCTCTCTCCCTCTCCCTTCCTCTCTCTGAAATTAATAAAAACATCAAAAAAAAAGAGAGAGAGAGGACCACCAGAGGTCCACTTGGGGGGGTGCTTTGCTGAATGTGTTGCAGAAACTAACTCCTAGCACGCCCTCAACAACCCCGGGAGTTAGGGGCTGCCGTTCTCTCCACTTTACAAACGAAGAAATGGGAGGTCAGAGAGCTGAAGCGACTTACACAAAGCCACACAGCAGAAAAATGCGGCTGCATTGGGAGGCTGGCTCGGGAGGCCTCCTTGCTGAACCCACAGCCTGCAAACTGCAGGGTGGGACAGAATCACCCACCCGGGGGATCCCAGCTCCAGATCCAGGGCCTGCCTGGCTCTGATGCCTCGGACCCAGGACGGGGCCTACGACTGTGCAGTTTTCACAGGCTCCCAGGTGATCCTGGAGCAGGAGGCCCAGGCCCGAGGACCACGCTTTGAGAAGCGCCGGCTGGTCTTCCGTAGGGCAGTGCACACGTCACCTCACTCGTGTGACCGTAAAACTCCCAGCAGCCTCACAAGGAGTCAGCGAGGCCAGGGCAGGCGGCTGCTGTGCGGTTCCCCCCTTTTGCTCCCATCCCCCCAGTGTCCTGAAAGCAAGGGCTGGCCCCAGTGTGCCCATCCATGCCAACCTGCCTGCAGAGGGGACCTTAAGCCTGGGTGGGAGGCTGCTCTAGGCCTCTGGCCAGATAATTCAGAAACGCTGAAGGTCAGAGATAAGAGCTGAAGCCCAGGTGGCAGCTCGGCCCCACTCAGGCCTGAAGGGAGCGGAAACCTGCCCAGGGTCACGCAGAGCGGAGCAGAGCCCGGATGGAGGGGCAGCCAGGGCGCCAGCTGCCCAGCCCAGGTCCGGCCCAGCCCTCCACCCAGGCCAGCTGCTCCAGGGCCCCCACAGCTCCTCCAGTCGCATTGGGAGCACAGGGACATGGAGCAGGGACACGAAAGCCTTGGGGAACCAAGCCAAGGCCACCTTCACACTGCGACTCCCCACTCTGGGGACACTCCTCCTACATCCCCTTGCCCTGGGCCTCTCAGACTCAAAGTCCTGAAGGCCTGGCCCCCACCGTGGACTTCACTGGGGCTGGCTTCCCAACTGGGCGTCTCAACGAGACGGCCCAGAAGTGCAGATTCTGGAAGCAGAGACCGGGGTTCACACCCCGCCTTCGCCAGCAGGACAAGCCAGTCACGCAGCACCTCGGAGCACCGCTTTCCTTATCTGGAAAATGGGAATAATTGCACCTCACCTCACGAGGTTGTTAGGAGAAAAGGGGAGATTACGTATGTAAATCACAGCAGGCCTAATGAGCCGCGTTTGCTGACGGCTCGCTCCGAACAACTGCGCGCACGTTCCCCGGGGCTGGCGCGGGGTCTGGCACACGACCAGCGCTCGAGTGGATCCAAAACAAAACCCCAAAGCCCTGCAGGAAAATCCAGCCCAGCCGGGGAGCAGGGCGGACGGGAGCTCCGCCTCCCTTGTCTTCCAGCTTAATTAAAAACGCTGGCGCCCGGCGATGCTAACTCGGGGCTGCCCCTGGTCACAGAGGGGCTCAGGGCGGGTCCCAGGGCAGAGGCTCGGGCGCGGGAAGGTGCCAGTCACGCGTGGGGCGTGCGTGTGCGTGCGTGTGTGCGCGTGTGTGTGAGCACCGAGGTCCCTGCTCCATGGTGCTCTGAGTGGCCCCCTCGCCCCCTGCACCGACAATACCTGGGTCACCCCGAGTCACAGCACAGTGTGTCTGAGCCGGCCCTGCCTGAGCTTGCCCGTGTGTGTTTGTGTGTCTGTGTCTGTCTGTCTGTCTGTCTGCACACCCCACCGCAGGGCTTGTCCATGCTTGTGTGTTGGCTCCGGGGTCCTGTTTATGCTGAGGTGACAGGGAGGGGGTGCAGGCTGGCACACACCTCGGGGTCGGCCTTTAGCGTCTACGGAGGCTGCCCTGTGTGCGACGCCGGGCTCCTCGCTCGGCCACACTCACCCTCTACCAGCCCAGTACAGAGAAAGCCAGGCCGCCAGCGGCTGTGGCCACTTTTTCCAGGCGGGACGAAACCTTTGCATGCACCTGGCAGACAGGCCTGAGCCCGGCGGTTTGTCCAGGGCTCCAAGGAGGCCGGATGGGGGCGGCCTGGGGCTCCTCTGACAGGTAGGGTGAATTTAGGGACACCTTCAGGGCCCCGCTCCCCATTATCAGCAGGAAGTGATGCGGGGACAGCTCAGGCCCCAGCCTCACCTAGAGGTTCTGACCTCCCCTGTGACTCAGCCGGAAGCAGGAAACAAATGTGGAGCTCTCAGGAGTGAGACTGGAACAGGGCTCGGCACCACCCCCACCCCAGGCAGTCCCCACCCGGCCAGAAGGGTGGTGACTCAGAGCCCCACCCCACCTTTCTCCACACAGCTGACCTGGCCTTCACATCCCGCCCTCCACAGGCCCTGGCAGGATGAGGCCGGGAAGCACCAGTTTCCAGCCAAGTGGGAGCCACGAAGGTGTCCGGGGCAGGGAAGGAAGTCCCTTAGCCCTCAGCTGGGATGACAAAGTCCCAGAGACCGTCTGGACCTGGGACAGGCCCTGAGACCTCCCAGAGGCTCAGCAAAAGCACCTGCTTCCCCGGAGACACACTGGACCCTTGGACCCACTGGTGTCAGCAGGACCAGCACCTCCAGGGAGAGGTGCTGACTCAGTGACTAGGGTGGCCGGTGACCCAGACGCATGCCCTCCCTCCACAGTGCCCAGGGCAGGGCAGCCTCATGAGCCAGGAGCGGTGAGCACACTCTGCCAGGCCCACACCGGTGCCAGGGCAGAGTCCCCGACAGGGAAGTGGGCTCGAGTGCCAAAAGTCCTCCCGCTGGACTGGGGTGACCGAGACAGAGGCGGGAAGGCAAGGGGGCCCAGCCTCATAGCATCCAGCGTTCCTGGGTACACGAGGGTCCCTGCTGTGGCCCCCGTGGAGCAGGCCCAGGGCTCCTGCCAGCACCCCAGGTGGCCCGGCCCCTCACAGACCTCCCTGTGCCCCTCTGGCCTGCAGGGCCCTAACCCAGGACCTGTCATGAGCTGCCCTCACCTGGGGAGCCTGACCTCTCACCGCCCCACCCGGGACTCTCTGCGCCCTAAGGAGCCCTCCTCTCACCACGTCTCCTCTTTTCTAAGGATTCTGGGGCCGCCAGGCACAAACGCGCTCAGCTCCCCACTGCAGACCGAGCTCCGCAGCACTAACCTCGGCCTCCCAGAAAGCAGGCCTTTCCCTCAATATTTACCCCAGAAATACACGTGCCTCCCTCCTCCCCTTTCTCAGCCAAAATCCTTTCAAGAAGAGCCGCCCGGCGCCGT